TAGATTTATTAGTATAGTTTTTGGGTCCCTTTATAAGAATTATCCTTCTTTTTGGAAAATAACGTTTTTTTTTTTGTGATTGGATAATGTCTATTAAATTAAATTAAATTAATTGCTAAAAGACACTTCACATGAGTTGTGTCCAAGTTGGATGTGCCATTCTAGTACTACCACCTGTCTCTACTCTCTACTCACACATCCTTCTAGAATTTATTATAGAGCAAATGAGCCACCCTTATTTGACTTGTATGTACTTGGACTCGTGCTAGATTGAGCTACTTATAAAACGCTTTGAAATTTATATGTGGAGTTTAGTTTTATGAGACTTTTATGATATAGAGTTTGATTGCATACTCTAAACATGTCTATTACTTGATGTTCGAGGTTTACTAAAAAGCTTTAGGAAAAATTACGTGTCGGATTTCTTAATTCGCATTGTTGATTCTCAAAAAATGATTAATAGAAGTTCAAAATATAAAAATTGAGGATAATTAAAATAAAGAACTATGATATTGCATAATTACTACTTAAGAATATTATGAGGATCATAGACGGACTCACCTTTATCAGCTGGGAAACAAGGTAGAGAAATCATCCGAAATCAAGGTTTAAATCCAGCTAGATCACAATTTCATTGTTTTTATTTAAATTTAGGTATCATATTTGGTGCACCTAAAGTCTTAGAGTGTACCCGAAATCTTAAAATCTTGGCTAAAGATCACTTGGGCATATAGTTAGGCAGTAACAACAACAACAACAACAAAACCTTCCTACTGCGAGTAACTATAAATTCTTGCCCTTTTCTCTGTCTCCCTCTACCATCCCCTCTCTCTTTGTATTCGTATTTCATGGTATATAGCAGAGGTGTATAATTCATCCAATTATATTAACTGTATTATGCAATACAAGGAACAAATACATCAAAAATTAATAAGAAGAAGAAACTTATATCATTCTAATGGTTGTATCGACATACTATCTTGTATCAATATATATGCATTATATTTTTGTATCGCGAATGAATACAAGCGATACAAGAGTGAATAAATACAAAAGATACAAAGTATAAGGATGTATGTATTTAATACAACTTGTATAATAATGTAGTTTTGTACCACAAATCAATACAAGCAAAATTAAACAAGAACGAATATTTACAAATGATAAACTTGTATCAGCCTGTATGTATCAAATACAATTTGTATTTTGTATTTATGTTTCACGAAGGAGTACACGTGATACAACTATATCAACATGTATGTATCAAATACAACTTGTATTGCTGTATATTGAATGAATATAAGAACAAATAAATACAAGTGATACAACATGTATGTAGCAAATACAATATGTGTAAAACAAATATTCATTAATGCAACCTGTATTCGTAGAATACAATTCATACCTAGCATCTCTCTTCTAAATCTTGCTCGCCTCTGTCTTCTCGCTATGAATAGCAAATACTCAAACTATAGTTATTGGGTTCTAACTAGCCCAAAACATTAGTCATTTCTGAAAATTTACTCAAAAATTTTTGCCCAAATGTTGCTTGAAAGGCTCAAAAACATATTTGATTCTCAAACCGGAGATTGGGCTTTACCGGCCCAATATTCAAACATTCCCCACCCCCCTACGCACCTACCCCCACCCCACCAAACCGAAACTTCGTCGGCACATTTTTGTCGATGTACCGTCGACCTAATCACACTGATTACTTCTCACCCTCTTCCCTCTTTTCTTCATCTAACCCTAATTCCTCCACCGCCGTTCAACAATCCAATTCTGCCGTCGCCGCCGCCTCGCCGTCTTCTCCGATGTCCGACGACGATCTCGTCGCCAGTCCTTCCTCGAATAACAATTCTCCGTCGCCGTCTCAATCACCTCCACCGTCTTCTGTAAAGAATGAACTAGCAACTCTTCATCCACCGCCGATGATCCCGCCGGCGTCGACTCGTCCGGCTGCATTTCCGGCTCGCGAGGACTGTTGGTCGGAAGCGGCAACTCATACTCTGATCGAAGCGTGGGGTTCTCACTACGTGGAGCTGAAGCGCGGTAATCTCCGGCAGAAGCACTGGCAGGAGGTGGCTAACGCCGTTAACGCACTTCACGGCCACTCGAAGAAACAATTTCGCACCGATATACAGTGCAAAAACCGCATTGATACATTGAAGAAGAAGTATAAGATCGAGAAAGCTAGGGTTTCTCAATCCCAAAGTCGGTATGTCCCGCAGTGGCCATTTTTTCAACAGCCTGGATGTCCTGATCGGCGATAATTTCAAACCGTCGCCGTCTCCGGTGACGGTCGCTCCTCGACGGAAGACACCTCCGTTGCTTCCTCCTCCACCTTCCGCCGTTCCGGTTGGTCCACGGTCAAAGAGGCCGGCGGCAGTCATGGAGGACGCTGTTTCCCGGAGAAATTTCTCTGCTATGGCTGCAGCTGCAGCTGCTGCTGCCTCCGAGGATTCAGACGAAGAGGAGGAGTCAGAAACTTCAAGCCCGGCGACATTTACTGCCGGTGCTCTAAGTAGGAGGAAGGAGAGTGGGGCATTGGCAGAGGGTTGTAGCAGGTTAGCTGAAGCAATAGGAAAGTTTGCCGAGATATACGAACGAGTTGAAGATGCTAAGCAGAGGCAAATGGTGGAATTGGAGAAGCAAAGAATGCAGTTTGCAAAGGATTTGGAGATTCAAAGAATGAAACTCATTATGGAGTCACAAGTTCAGCTTGAAAAGCTTAAACGCGCTAAGAACAGTTCACAAGCTGGTGAGTGACTATGTATTCCTAATGGACAATTTGCTGTTTCTTTCGTTATGTTTGATTTTAGATAGCAATCCAATTGACGGTCGTGTATGTATGTATGTATGTATCTTAAAAGAACCATTCAATTTGAATCTTAGATACAAAGATATATGAAGATGTTTCTTATTCAAGTTGTTAGTTGACATTTAATGTTTGAGAAGTTCCCGATTGATCGTAATGATGGTATATCATTGAGTTTGTTTCTTAATTGCTCTTTTGCTTCAATCTGGGGTTCTTCCTAAGGAAAGACAGATTGAGATTCGTGTTGTTAGTTGCTTTATCTTCACTTCTCCTTTATAGTTGCCTTTTTAACATGCTCTAGTATAATTCAAGATATCTAATAAGTAGGAACTAGTGATGTAATGGCCGTTTTCTTTGATCTGTACTTGTGCAAAGAAACACTTGATGAAGTTGACAATCATAAGGAACATATCTATGATCAAGAATGGAAAATGGATGCTTCTCACTGGATGTGAATTGGGGGTGCATTTTATTTCTGCTGAGTTCTTTATGGAATCTCTTCTCACTGATAGAGTTAATGTAAAAAAAAAAATAACCCTCTTTGTTTTTGTTGGTCTAGTCTAGCGGTCTAGGAGTTAACGCATACATTTTCTGATATGAGTTAGTTATCAAGAAGGTTAACTGATTTGAAGATATATATAAGGTAACATATGTTACAAGAACATATATTATTAACTGATGGCAAAGTTTCCTTATACAAGAAGTATTCCAGAAAGTAGAGAGTTTATGAAAACAAATGTGGTTCTCCACAAAGTACACCCGATCTTCTATGCAGACTGCAATATACTAGAAATAGAGGCTATTCCTCTTCAAAATCAGACTTTACACCATCAAAAGCTATCTAACTCCTCTCCATCCATCAAATCCACGCAAGTACTAGTGTGGCAAAAGCCCATGCTCTATGCCTTTAATCGTGCTTACATAGGCTCGGTTGTGCAACACCGTCTTTATGTTTGACTTCGACTTGCCTATATCAAAGCTGCTGAACAAAATCTTTCTTGGCTAGCTAGGTGTTACTGTTACATGTGTCTGGAATCAACTTCTGAGTGCTTATACGAGTTCAGGCAGTAGGTCTTATTCTGCATCGGTTAGTTATGTAAGTAAACTGTTTTAGATGACAACCTTTTGGACCAAGTATGTAAATTTCTTATCTTATTAGCCAACAATGAAATAAAATGATCCGTAGGAATTTTTTTGAGGAACATTGTTGTTGAAACAATTTATGTTCATATCTCTTGAACAGATTGAATTTAAAATGAAAATATTCACTTACTGGTGTATTCCGGAACATAATTGTTATGGTCTTGAGACAATCTATTTACATTCCTGATGAATTGTTGATTTAGTGACTGCAAGAAAATCTTATGATGCCACTGGAGAATAACACTTAGTTTAAGCTTCACAGGATGGCTAATAAGAGCAGTAAAGATGCAATGCTTGTGTTTATGTGTAGAATTTTTTGTTGCATTAAACAAATACACTTAGGGCCTGTTTGGCCATGCGATATGGAATAATGATATGATATCATTATATGGTATCATGATATGGAATCATGACATGAAATTGAAGTTTTGTTTGGACATGCGATATGTAATTTTTGTGTGTATATTTTGTCATAAACATAAGAATCATGATATGGTTTCATGATATGGAATCATGAGATGAAATTGAAGTTTTGTTTGGATATGCGATATGGAATTTTTGTGTTGTATATTTTCTCATAAACATAAGAATCTCATAAGTTGTAAAACTATTAAAATAGCCCAAATTGTTTATTCAATCTTATCAAATAAACAAAAAAATATAAAATCGCATAATAAATTATTACAAAGTTATTTGTTCTCCACTTAAGTAATTGTTTCATCTAACTTTAATTTAATAAAAAAAAATTGAACATAAATTGTAGTGTACTAGTCTTAAATATAATTCTCTCACATAGTACGAACAATTTCCTCACGTTGAACTTGCATTTTTCGATCATGTGATCGAGAAGACGAACCAACATTGTTACTTTGAGCCATTTGTTGGTCAATATAATCCGCAACTATATTGATCAACCTAACTTTCATATCAATTTATTAGAGTAAATGAAGAGAAGACCTTTCACTCCATGTTCAAATAGATATAACTATAGTTGTAATAAATACAAAACGATTGTATGGAGTATGAGTTACAAATAGGAATGGAGTATGAGTTACAAATAGGAATGGAGTATGATATACATCTGCTTGATCAAAGCAATCAGCAAACAAGTGGAAGAAGGACTAGGACAGCTCGAATGCAAGTGAATACTAACTACATTCGTTACAATATTCAAGTGCCACAATCCATTCTTGATGATACCTATACTGATGAAATTGAAGACGAAGAAGAAGAGGTAGTGGAGGAAGAAGATATTAATGAGTTTGTGGATCAAGATATGTCTGAGTATTTCGAAAGAAGTACATGTTATGTTCCTTGTGTTATGGACATAGACGCCAACGAAGATGGTGATGATGTTGAGGAACAAGAAGCATGTGCTATCTGCTTGCTTGAATATAAAGATGAAGATAATATTGGCACACTTCAATGTGGCCATGAATTTCATGCTGAATGCATAAACAAATGGTTGCAGAGGAAAAAATCATGTCCTTTTTGTAGAGCTTCAGTTTTGCCCACAAACACATGACTGTCTATATTATTCTGTAATGATTCATATTGCAATCACAATTCACTTTTTTAGTCTTTTACCTGATTCTTTATTCTAGTTTTTGGCCTGCTTAAATTGCTTTCCAGTCATAGATGCATAATTATGAGTAACAAGTAATCCGTTAAACACGACAAAGTGTTATAACTGTTTAAAGATCATATGTAGCGTAAAATCTATATCATCGTCGTTCTAACGGACATAGAAAGGAAGATAATATATCTAAGTTCTAATATGGAAAGCCAAAACTATTACCAATACGAGAAGCAAAATTGCAATAAAAAAATGGAGCCTCTGCTAGATTGTTTGCTCTCGTTGAGAGTCGAACTCAAGACCTCCCGCTTACTAAACGGGTGCTCTAACCAACTGAGCTACGAGAGCTTGACGTTTGAAGTATGCAGATACATATATTGACTGTTGTGACAAGTTTCTCATTGTCCAACTTTAGTTGTAGGTGGAAGAATAATGGAAAACTATAATTTACATAAAACATTTTCTCTCACCGGTGTCTGGTATGGGCATTAGAGCCTAGAAGAAATCTTGAACTCGAGATCTCTGAAGGAGTACTACTCCACTAATAATTTTTTTTTAAAATTGGGATGTTTTGTCAGGTAAACAATAGTATGTAGACACCATTGACTGGAAAGAAACTACTCGCTCCACATCCGACCCTGACCCGAGACCGGACTCTCAATTATAGTATTTCAAGTCCGATATCATAGTATTTTCCCACATTATTGTTAAATGCTCTTGAGACAATATTTTCTTCTTACTTACCAAACACAAGAAAATACGCAAGAAAACCACTTTTTTTTTTATGACCATGGAGTCCAAGCCATCTTTTGCGCACCTCGACTAATCTCATGGGATACCTGCCACCTTGATGAGTTACCAGGTGAGAGTAAACTCAAAATAGGGACAAACAGTATTTTCTTGTGCTCCTTGATGAGTTGAGTGTCTAAAAGGATATGAATTCAACATGAAAATTCATTGTTGCTTTAAGCCTTTAACTATACACCTTGTTTTAAAACAAGAAAATGTTGTAGTAAATATGTATACCTTTTAGTAAATAAATATTGAGACAAAAAAGATTATCAATCCTACATGGGACTTTGTAACTATACCTATTATAATTATGTTTCTGTCTTCTTCCCTACAATTGCCACTGCCTCCTCAATTGCTTGTGCAAAAGTTGCAATCTTGTAAGTGAAGAACCCCACTAGCATGGGTATCAACTCGAGGTGCATGAGTCCATACTCCGCCGAAAGGATACTGAAAAGATACCAAATTTATACAAGTTGCAATTTGTAAGCAAACCACAACTAAAGCAACTTTATCCAATATAAGAGCATCATCCATAGAAGTCGAAGAACAGAGTTAACAAATGATTCTTAGGTCCATTTAGTCACTAGCAAATTCAAGCTACTATAGAATGGTTGATAATACCCTTTCTTGTGGTGTTTTAACTTTTTACAGACAAGTCTCAAGTTGAATGAAAGTGATTACTTGGAACTGAGTGAAAAATTCACTTTGATTATTAGTTCCGGTAAGGAGGTGGGAGAGGTTGGTCATAGTGGGCTTGAGAAGGATAGAGGTAGGCCAAAGAAGCATTAGGGTGAGGTAATTAAGCATGACATGGCCGAACGTCAGCTCACCGAGGACATGATCCTTATTAGGAGGGTGGAGGTTGAGTATTAGTATTATTCTTGTATTATCTTATTCTTGGATTTCGTTTATTACCTGTTGTTTCTTTAGTATCAGTTATCTTATTATATTACTGTTATTTCTACTTGCTGCTACTCCCCCTTTCATTGTCTTTTTGAGCTGAGGGTTTATTGGAAACAATCTCTCTACCTTCTCAGGGTAAGACCCACTTGTGGGATTTCACTGAATTTGTTATTGTTGAGTATCCTTGGGAGATCTTAAACTAGGAACAAACATTCTAATAATTTTAGTGTCAACAATGCTCCTCAGCTTACTAAGTTTCTATTTTGTTCTTCGTCTTAAGTGGTTAACTTCTAACTTTGGTAAACAAAAAGGTGTAACTAAATCTTGAAAGTAAAAGGTGAATAGGAGAAACTGAAGCTCCTTCTAACCAGCTACAATTTCTTTATCCAAGCAAGAACATTATAAGAGAAGTTCCCTTGCGACAATTATTCTATCCGCACATGTTTTAACGAAATAAAGTGATAGTGGAAGATCCTTACCCATTCCACCGGTTATAGATCATGACCAAAACAACAGGAACCAGTAGCCTTGGCTGCCCAACCGCTCCCCTGCAAGTAAAGCTTTCTCGTAAGTTAATTAATCAGAGATCAAACTAGTTCCTTATGGCATATGACTACTGTTCCTGTGTCAGTTAGGGATTCAAGAATGATGCATGTCGTAGATTTCTATTTACCTACCCGTTGCTTAATAGCTTAAAATCCTGGAATCAAGAAATTGTCCAAATTGAAACAACTACAGTATAGCGGATCATGTACACTTCTAATTTAAACCCTTGCATTGATACGACTGTCAAGGGTTTAGGTCTAAGAAACCAAGATTAACAATGATGAACTGCTATCCTCATTTCCTCAAGTCACAAAATAGTTCGGTTGGCTATATGAATCGTAAACACCCATTTTATTTCATTTGAACATGTTTCATGCCAAATTACCTCTGATATAACATTACTCATTACTGGTCTTGTAATCATTTTATAAATCTTCCTATAGCATAGCACTCTTGTTGCACTCATGTTACAATTTCATTTATAATCTTAATTACCTAAAAAAAAACCCTGTCTAATGCCACTTCAACTTCACTCGTCTATGTGGGACAAAAGTGCAGTGTACACAGTTTGTCTTACTTCTACTTGTATTAACTCAAAAAACCCTCATCTCTAGCGTACTTCTCTATAGTGGACAGTACAAGGTCATCAAAATATTGGAGATAAACATGCACAGAAAGAGCCATCAGCTAAAGATTGCATCACGAAAAACATACTTGATAAGCGCTTTGGGTCCATCTGTCCTTAGAGAATCCACGCTGTTCCCCAACATACGCATGTACATCAATGATCCAAGTAGCCCAGCACCATAACTGGACAAATGGAAAATGTTAACATTTTATTAACACCAAACATATGCATGTACATGATAGAACCAAGTGACCAAGCATCGTAAATGGTCATAGAAACACACAATATCTTATCAACATCAATTTTAATAGCTTCATGGAATATGCGCAGATCAGCCACCACCTTAATCCAAAAGGCTATTTAATACTTACAACAAGTTGGAAAAAAAAATTCAATAAGCAAAACAGAAATAAAACAGTCACGACTTGATAAAAGATACACAAAGTATACTAGAAGATCATTTGGTCATTTCATTGTATGAAATGGCTATTTGTTCAGTAACAGTATCACCTTTTGAAGGAAAAAAGAAGCAAGTGAAGAGTTACTTCATTCTCAAATATTATTAACATTAGAAACCACAACGGACCAATATGCTAATCAAAGGAAAGCTAGTTTAATGGATAAGGGGTTACGTTAAACTACAACATCACTTGATCAGACAATACGTTCATCAAGAAGAGATTGAAAATAACTAGAATTTCTAGAAAGATAACTAGTTTACCTTGCTGCAATTTCAGGAGAATAGGAGACATAGGCTGAAACTATGCCAACTCCACCAATCCCAAGGGTGAGGAACTGTAATTTGTCCTTCAACTGCAGAGGAAAGAAACATAAGTATTTTAGAAGAGTGAACTTGTACAAAGTCAACAGATCTCAATCAAGAGTATGATTGATGTGGAGAAAATACTAAACATGTACCTTAAGATACTGCTCCTCTGACCGAGCAGCCAAAATATTTGGGTCCTCTTGTGAACGTCTTGTTTCTCGGAGTAACACTTCCTGAGGGATGGATAACTCAGCATTATAAGGTGAAGCAGCATACTTTTATATCTCAGGAGGGAGACATTTTGAGCAAAAAAAAAAAGAAGTATCAAATTTCAAGAAACGAAATCTTTAGGCAGTTCTAAAAACATACACTGCCTCCAGTTGCAGCCTTTGCAGCCCTATCCCACTTCTCCTGCTCGCGTCGTGTTGGTGCTGGTCTCCATTTTTGAGATGCACTTACACTAGCCTGAAAACTACTTTCAGCTTGAACAATGTCCGTAAAAAGGAAATAAATGCCAAATAGCTAAAGCTAAGTGTCTTAAAATTGGCATACATTACTTTCCTTGACTTCAGCGTCTAGCATAGGTTTTGAAGGGGTTATTAGCTTCTTGGTAAGGTCAATATCCATACTGCATCGTCCAAATGCAATCACATTAGAGGAAGAAGGAACTGATATACATCTATTCAAAAGAAAGGTAAAAGACGAGTTCCACCTGTCAAGACTCATGACTCTGTTTAAGCTAAGAAATCCAGATGACTCTTCCTGTTAAGATCAAAATGACATAGTCACTAACAAATTAAGCAACTATTTTAACAGAAATGGTACTAAACAAAATGCCAAATTTTACCCTCTATAGTAGTATAGAACTTCTTCAGACTAACGCACTACACAAACAAATCATAGTTTCGTGCAATTCAATTTTAATAAAGAAAAAGAACTAAAAGAAGGGAAAAATAATCATTCAATGACCAACATTGTTCTGTTCCATGTCGTGGAGAAAGCTAGGGACTATCAAGGAAAGATTCCTCAGAAGACATAACAACTGACTGCAGACAGCACAACAGAGAATCCTTAATGTAGTCCAAATAAAATTCACCTCAACTCCAAACTACTCATACTCAATTGTTTGAATTTTCAGTAACCAGTACATTCTATTCGGGCCTATATCATTCCAATATTAAATGATTCATCCTTCAAGACTAATCAAGGATATAATACAACTACAGGTCATCTAAATTGCACATTTACCTTGAACCAAACAAAGAATTACTCCCGACGAAAACCAGACTTAACTAAGGTGTGTTCGGTATGGAG